TTGACGCCCTAGGCTGGAAAATCGTTGCAGAGTTCATTTGCTGATCTCCTTCTATCATCTATATCCTCAACTCTGAACGGTGACACGCCCATGTCATTGTATCGTGGAATGTAGATGACTAACAAACATACGACGCATCTGACCAACCAAGCGTAGGCACAGAGCAATTTACACCAAAGATAATAACATTCAAATAGTAAGTTGAAACTTGAAAGGTCTTTATTCATGCAAGTCAGTTTAACAATTACCCTCCCGTACACAGTTGGCTTATCCTCCCTAATCTGACCATTGACTGTCGTCTTTCCAAATGCACCGATACTAGCATAGTCATAGCATAAGGCACGTGAGTTCATGGACGTCCCTTTCATTGTGGATGACAACACCAACGACGACTGAGCGACACAAGTTGATGAACTTAGCGGTGCATCAGAAGCCGTTGTTGTTCGGCTTTTAGAAGTTTGTCTAACTGCAAGATTACCACCACTGATGTCCTTTATTATTAGCTCCAGTTTGGCATTAACATCTGCTGATAGGTGGGCTACACGCTGATCAATTACACTGACGGTCTCACAAGTATGCGTGCCTTCTGCAACAGCATCTGCACTTAATTCTAATTCACGTTCATGTTGTACAGAACCTTTATTTAACTTAGCAGTAGTGGGCATTCCCCTCATTTCATCATGATCAACCAAAGGCAAATCTGCACTATCATGATCATTATCACAAATATTCAATTTACCACCGTCTGCCTGGTCGACTTCATCATTTTCAAACTCTTTAATGACAGCAGTAGACAATTTGGGTTCTTCCTTATAAATCCTTAAGGGTTTTATACCTTTACTCTGACTAGTAATACCTTGAAATCTTGTGGAGTCAGAACTGGACTCTGAAACTGTAACTCTCTTCTCCTACACAAACTGCAGTGTCGTCTGTGACACTCTATTCAACATTGGCTTATTGGTAACGACTACAGGCTTCTTCACTGCACTATTGTCGTCACACCATTCTGAGTCAGACCTTGATGACGCTGATTTCACATTTGGCTTACCACTAAACTTGCTCACTGATTCACAGTTCGCCTTCGTGTGCACTTCTTGCAAACGTGTAAAACACAACCGTGTCTGTTTCGCAACTTGTGACCTATCTGTTGGGGACGTCCCGCGAAAGCTGTTACACTAAGTTTGTATGGATTACTAGACACCATGAAGCTTTCTCGATATCCACTTCTCTGAGACCCTTTCGTCATAAATGATGCGTTCTGCTCTCAGACTTCTCTCTTCAAGAGGTGGGATGCAATATACTGGGAAACTTGCTCACAGCTTGATTGACACTATCTTTTACCAGTTTCGGAATATCATCCTTCTTTGGCTCAACACCTTCATCCTCTATACGAGAGCTTATCTTCACCCACTTCCTTTGCAGTTGAGTAGGCAGGCGTCTCACTATTACCTCTAGGCCGGAACTTGAGTTTAGATCGCTCATGCAATTCATTGAAATCAACGTATTCTTGTAAGTCGTCAGATTATCTAAAAACTCAGAGAGTGCCTTGGAGTCATCTTGTAATTGACTACCATTTCCTTTAACAGCCTCGAATACATCCCTTACAACCATCGAAGGTCTTCCAAACCTTTGTCGCAGGATACGTATCGCCTCAGTGTATCCTTCGTTTGGGGGCATAACCCTACAGCACTCTATAGCTCTTGCAGCGACTTCAGTGCAATACTTCAACAAATACACCAACTTCATTTCATCGCTTATTGCAAGCCCACTCAAGGTGACTTCAAACTCTTTTAGAATCTGTGGATAATCAGCTGGGTTTCCGTCAAAACACCGAGGTTCATTTTTAGGGATTGTAAAATTTCTATTATCCCTAGACGGCAAAACATGTGCATCAATCTTATCATGCTTAGCATCATACCATCGCATATAGCAGGAAACTCAGCACTGCTTACTTTCCTGTCTGGTTCCAAAGCGCTTTTTCCTTTCTTTGACTTCGTCGTTACTGAACTTGACCAAACAATCCAGAAAATTTCCGGATAACACTCGTCCAAAGAAGACGGGCAGACACGAGGAAGGAGGAACAGAAACTATCAGAAACTGTCAATATCCAGCTCTTGCTACGCTGGACCTCACGCTGTCTCTGGAAGACTTTCAGAAACAATTTGTAACAACCAGCGCGAAAAACCAGAACACATTGGCGACTCGAGAATCCCTTATTCTTACGCCAATATGTAGCCAAGAATAAGGTTATTATACACAAGGTTTCTGATAGTTTTCTCTCTTCCAACGAACAGCGAACGATGAGACGATGACTGCCGTATTGATGACTCCCGCGAAAAATATGGGGGAGTTGGATTTGAGCAAACAACCATGAGTTGGTTGTTCAGTCTTCAAATAGATTGAAATCTGTCTCCCAGGTGGCAGTCAGGTCTTATTCTTATTCTTTTTCTCCTTGATCTTTGATGCGTTACTGAGAATAATGCTTTTCTCCATCTTGTACTCCGGTAAAATCTTCAGCAGTCGTGGGGAACTTTCCATTGCATCATCATTACGTTCACTGATTCTCATGAGTTTACTTATGTGTATTCCATGAGATTTTGTAGGAAGTACTTCACGAATGATTGAGCTAGCGTCCTCAAGTGCATCAGCATGTCCCGCAACCGGATCAACTTTCTTTGATTCCTCCAATTTCCAAAATACGAAGTTTTCACAATTGTATTAGTCTTTACGTCCGTCAAGATATCGTCATTAAGCCCAGCACTTTTCGCTTTTATGTAATTCTTCAGCCACCTGTTTTTTGGCATTAACCAAGTGAAATTAGCTACTTGCAATTTTCTCTCACCGCGGCTAGAAGCCATGCATTCATCGGACACGCACCGCTCTGGTTTGGTAGTATTATCCTCTGGTATTGCAGTGTTGGCACTACTTACCCTCTTAGGCTTTTGGGGCCATTTGAATGCCATTGCAGATTTTTGGGCACTCTGTACCTCTCTTTTCCCTTCACTTTAGGATGTAGTTCTGTCTCAGTTTTATGACTCAGTCCCGAATTATATTTCCTGACATCGGTTCCAGATGCTGGTGTTTTCCCGTCATCTGAGGGTCTGAAAAAGATTTTGTGCATAAAAACTCATATGGCCTCTTGCATGAGGACGTCCAACGGGCTGCTACAAAGTTTGCACACCCAAGGAGATGGCGGCTTGCTGCATCTCCTATAGGCTGATGGTGATAAGCCAGTGCAGCTGTCACATTGCATCCCATCATCCAAAGGAAAGTGGAAATCTGTTCGTCCACAGCTATTAGCGAGACTCATGTCGGTGTAAGTTGTTTAAATTACACAGACAAATATGTATACATAAACCTAAGCACGCAGATATAAAAACCATACAAAAAAGTCGCAAAAGTGCAGAAAGAACAATACTTCAACTAATTAAACCAGTTATAGTGAATCACAAAGCTTCTGGTGCGATATACACAACAAAAGCAGAAGTTACTTCACAATGTAAAAATGCCACTCTCCTTCCTGAAAAGCGCGCGTTGTGGCTAGTCTCAGCATTCTACCTATTACAAAAAGACTACTCAAGAAGTTGGAAATTCTTGATGTCAAAGGCAGGTTGCTAAAATGGCTTGGGGAATTCTTCATAGATAGGAGAAAGTAGGTCAGGATCAACTCGAAACTCCCTTCCTGGACAGCAGTGCGCAGTAGAGTGCCACAGGGCACGGTACTCAGACCTCTCCTGTTTATTTCGCATAGCAGTGAGTTATCTCTACTCACCGATTCCCCTATGATCCTATACTCAGATGGCTTAAAAATTTTGAGGGAGCTGAAAGGCAACAGTGATGCGCTCACGTTGCAAAAGGATCTCAAAAAATTGTCAGTGTGGTCCAGAGAATGGATGCTCCCGGTGAAGTAGCGAAATGTGCAACCATGCGCATCAGACAAGCAAGCATCAGCCCCTACGAACTAGAGGGAATAACACTTCCATCGGTTCAGACTCATTGGGATTTAGGTGTCATAGTTTTTAAGATTTAAAAACCACAGCACACTGTCGTGCAGTGGATGCACGCAGTTTCAGATCGTTATGGGCAATTCGCAGAGCCCTTACTAGAATCACCAGATATGTGTTAACCCCCTTATATACATCTCTGGTGAGGTCAAAACTATAAAGCTCTATCCAGGCCGCCGGTCATTGTCTTAAAGGGGACTCATATACTCTAGGAAGGGTCCAAAGGAAGGGAACAGGTGTAGTTCTCGGCATGACTAACTAACTTATCATAGGAGGAAAAACTAGACAGTCTAAATCTCCCCTCTCTGTCATACCGTAGGCAGACGGGAGATCTAGTCAAAATGTTTAAAATCCTAAATAACGACTGCGGACCTGATCTGTTCTCTCTTTTCCTTCCCACCAGGTCAGAACACCATAGAGGACATAGCAGGAGAGTTCGAAAGCCAAGAAGAAATCATATGGCTATTGAGTACTGGTTCTCACACCGAGTCATAAACTCTTGAAACCGACTCCCAGAAGAAGTGGTGCCTTCAACGTGAACTGATTAATTCAAGAAGGGTTGGACAAGCACAGAAATTTACTAGAAAAGGAATAACATAGGATCCAAGCCTTCTATTTTCAACCAATAAATATGAAATCCGAAATTAAGTAATCATATTGGGTCATAAAACTGAAAAGTTTCAGAGAATAACTGCATTTTTTGAAATATTTATTGTTTGTCACACTTGTTTTTGTAAAGTAATTGTTTGGACGTTCAGAAGTGCTCGTTTTTTAATAGGCCTGAATTTCGATCTTAGTTCCTCTTCATTAGGAGGACATGACGTGGTATTTTTATTAGTTTCTGTACTCATATGTCTCATTCGCCAATAAAATACTTCCTGCGTAAGCTGCATGTGATTTATATGACATCGAATCAATGTTTTGACTGAAAATACCTGTTCAAGAGCACTCCGTTGCATTTAATTCGTTTTAACTTAAAGCCAGACTACGTTCATCATGTTCAGCAATTTTAGGCGAAAACTAACTAATCCCCGAACGAAGGTAAACTCACCAACAAGTCTTTTTCCGACAAGTGGTGACGACACTGTCGTCAGGGAAAGCAGCGAAGTATTCGCAAGTAAGTGCAGTATTATTTTCCAGTTGGTGTACATATATGTTCCTGTGATGGTTTTTCCTCATGGTATACGAAGTTTATAAGTCTATAAATTTACACGTGTCTATGTAGTTGTGTACGGAGTCATGGCCTGTTTTTTAGTTTCACCAGTGAACTGTACATATATACTAGGTCCTTAAGTGTTGACATAAATATACTGAACATGAGACTAATGAGAATCACCAGTGAGTGTATTTAGATGTTGCCGCCATGTCCTTGGCTGCGGGTTGTCATTTAACTTCACGAGTACCGTAATTTACATTTGAAATTGGAGATGCTGTAGGCAGACTGAGTTGTCACATTTCTCTTCCTAAGTACTTTTGAAGGTTGTTTATTGACATGCTATGCTGGGATCACCTGGATAAGTGTTTGCTCTTAGTTCCAATAAGTCGTAAAAGGTAGAGTAGTTTCAAACATCCACTGCCCCCATCATACAAATTCTGATCACAACCACACAAAGCATTTACGAACATTGTGTAATTTTGCGCGTAAGGTTATTTTACCCATCATCCTCTGGGATGGGTCACCTGGCCTCAAGAAGTAAAGGTGGAGCTTCCAAGTCCTAGTCTGTAAGTACAGCGTGATTAATTTTATTCTTCATCTTTGTGGTGTATTACCTGTGCTACCAGTGGCTTAGTACGTGATGTGAGGAGGCAATGGTCTGTTAGGTGTAACTAGTTGACGTATGTCAGCCAATATAGGATGTTAACAGCAACGACCACAAAATTGCAAGGAAAGCATGCAACACTGAAGAATGGTCCAAATTTAGTATTTCAAATGGAATAGTGTCATTGGTACTGGTTGCATTGCGATGTGTTTGGATAAAGCCTTGGGTTCTAAGAAAATAGTCAGATAACATAACGGCCGTGCTTTTTGCCGAAAATCGATAGAATAATAAAGTAACAGGACTTTTCAGAGGTATACATCAGTTCAAGTTCCTACTTCTACTTGACGCTTCAACGAAATAATAATAATTTGATACGGCAGTGTGGAATGAAGTTTTATACTTCCAAAAGTGATTGGAGCTCAGTACATGTACGTCATTGTAAAGGCAAATTTAGAGAGCTCAACGGGCAGATTGATTCTTCCTATATAGCTTAGACCAGTATTTGTTGTCTTCATGGATTGCAGTTATGTTTTTGTCTAAATACCCCTAGTTGTTTTCCAAGCTGAACGTCTTTTAGTAGGCATTGTTCACCAAAAAAGATAGTGTTTGGATGTGCTTCATATGTTCTAGACACCATTTTGGGAAAATTAATTATCTGGTAGTTTGACTTACCTTCCTGACCTAACACTATGCCTATTGTCAGTCTTATCGTTTTTTTAACGTAATACGAGAAAGTTGATGACAACACAGTCAGATATCTGCGGTTGTTAAATTTTTACTCCCATTGGGGAAGTTCACTTTTTTAATTATGACTGCTTTTGATGAGCACCCGGATACCACTCCTGTGCCAAAGGTTTAAGTGTTAAATAATAGACTAGACTTTCGTGTCCATCCTGAGATTTTGTCAGCAACCAGTTTATTGTGGTTGACACAAATCTAATTAGTGAAGTGGTCAATATATTTCACCTGTCCATATCCTCTAACTAGTAGTCGGCAGAGACTAGTCCTGTAGGATCATCATACATCCGGTGATAGCTTACTGCATTTTTAAAGGACCTAGATGTAGACTCACTGTGTTCAGAAGATTTGTCAGCATCTTTAAATAAACGGGATATATCGCCTAAGTCAGTAGGCTATTCTCCTAACTGCAAGCAACTTCTTGAGACATCGAGGAATTAGTGGTGTTTGGTTAATACTACCCGTGTCGTCAATTCAGACAGCAATTCACCACAAACAATTAGATGAGTTCAGATAAATTGTTCTGATTAGAATAATATACTTTGTATGCATTTTAGAGCAACACTATTTCATCACTATAAACAGTACAGAATGCTGTTTCCATGTAATAAAATATGACTAGAAATAAGTTGTGGCTTATACAGAACACCATGTTACTTGTTACTTTTTAGTCTTCTCTTAGCCTGAACTGTCGGTCTGTATTTTCAAACATTCATCTAGCACTATGAAACCTGTTGAGTCCACTTGGTTATTGTCATCCATGCAGCGATAAAATCTATTCCCGGTTTCATTCGTGTTATTTTAGATGGATAGTTAGGGATGACTGAAGGATAGCAGTCTTTGTTATTTTTTTCGTATTCTGGTTAAACCTGACCCAACATTAGCTGTTGATGGAGATTTAGTCGAGTAATCAAGCTTTGGCTGTAGCAATTGATGTGGCCCCAACACCAACAACGCCAACTTTGTGATAACTATTTAGTGGTTCAGAATGACAAATGCACATTATGCTTCCAAATAGCAGAACCCCTAAGAGAAACAAGTTACTTGACTGGGTAATTATTCATACAATGGATTATTCATATGGCCTCTGAGTCGATTTCAAATCTTCACTGAAGTCCATGTGTATCGTTGGTTTGCAACAAGGGCTTTTTTTCTTTTGTGCAGGAATCATCCGTACCCATCAATTAGCACTGGATATTCACTTTTGTTCCTTCATTTTTTTTGGAAACAGTCTTATTTGAAAGTGATGTTTTTTTTATCTGGCAGTGGTAATAAAAACATATCAACATGAAACCAATTCGATGAGAAGACTAGAGTCCGTTCACTGTCGATTTTAACTTACCATTCTTGTCAAAACCGTGAATGTTTCATTTACCGTAGTCTGTTGATTACTGAGCTTCACATAAAGATAAATAAACACACACATTAGGATTTTGGGTAAATTGATTTCTCTTCAGTTATAAATGGTCAGGATAATTTCGACTTCAAATGCTGGTTTTATTTTCTATTTTAAGAGAATGGAAATTAGTCCCTACTAGTACTGTCTCAATGCACTTTTTCTGATAATTTTCTAACTACTGGGGGCTTTAAGCATCTTCCATCATATTGAGTATGGTGGTGTGAGGTAAAGTTTTGTTGCAAGCTGAACGATTTTTCTAGTATACAAAGCATTTACAATTGTTTTGTCTTCTCACTCTATGGGGATGAAATCAGAAAAGTTGGTGTATCTTCCTCTATCTCACCATGTGTCCAGTCATGCGTTTTCTTCATATACTATAAGCAATGTAGACAGTGAGTAAATAATATTGTAGATACATATAAAATGTTCCTCACGATAGACAGTAAAACTGTATGAACCATATTAGTTTGGTAATATTTTACACATTAATAGCCACCACCTACTTTATACAATGGTGTCTTGCAAAACATATCAGTGAATGCAAGATATTTAATCAAAGTTCAGTAAACCTATCTATCTAAATTGTGTAGGAAACTTAGGGCTCTCTGGTGGAAATGTGCCAATTATCTCTTCTCTAAGCGTTGATCATAATATTATTTGAAGTATAAATTATCTTGCATTTAGTCATACCACTTTTACTAGCTTATGTAGAATTTGTTTCTTCTGTGTTCATACACAGTCTTGAAATATGCTTTTAAGTATTTGGCCATTGTTTACGTGACACTGAACACCTTAAAAGTAATTACCACACGAAAAATGTAAGAGTTACGCAATCGTGACGGGTAATAAAGTCGAGAAAATCGCAAACATATACCACACACAAATTAATTGTTTTCTTAAAAAAGCCATACTAACAAAAGTGGGATCAGATTTCGGAGGAGCCAAAGGTGGTTAGACAAAGACATAGTATGAATTCATGAAATTGTTGGCTATCAGCATGAGTTCTGTAAAAAAGTGTAGGTCACCTGGTTGGTTTTTATGTGACTACAAGATAATTAGTTGAAGACCCTTGGTTATGCGACCAAGACTCGATCCTTTTTATACAGAAGTATTCATACACTACATTCATGCTAATTGCAATGTTATATTTGGTTTACTATCTTGTCTTGAGGCATTTTACCACCTTTAATTGCATTATTCTGATTGCTCTGTTGCATTTTATTATTGTCAACTTAATATAGAGACGTAAAGTATGGGAACTTGAGTCACTACATAGTAATGCTAAACCTTACACTGATGTCGTTTGTTTACATAGGCTTATTGTCTCTTGCCTACGACATATATATATATATATATATATATATATATATATATATATATAACTTTTAATCTATGTTCTATTATTGTTGTGTGGTGCATCTTTCCTGGTGCCATATTGTACCAAGTTTTTTCTGCGTTTAAATAAATAAAATAATAGTATCCATAATAATTGAAGAATTATTGTTTATCATAACATTAAAATCTTAAATAAAACTGAGTCAATAATATCTATAGATTACGGCTCGAAAGCATCTGTGAGTGATAGTATGCATAGAAACGCAATCCTAAACTAGACATTGGATAAATTAAGAAAAGTATTGGGGAATTTATGAATTGATAGATTCCACAGCAGACCAGGGCAGTAATAGTGACTTTACCTGGTTTTTGCACAGAGAGCTCCAGTTGTTTTAAGCGAATCGCAATTATCTTTGCTGTTTGGAGGGTTTGGTATTTGGAGGTCTTTGACAATTTATTCAGTGTTCGATAGATGATAGGAAAAGACTCTTTAATACTAACCTTTTAGCCTGTTTGGACGAGGTGATCTAATATAGAACTCAAAAGTAATGGGTAAAGAAGTATTTACTTTTCAATTATGTCCTCATTTAGTGGAAAAGTAAGTATTTCTTCGCTCAACCCTTTGGTTTCTAAATGTCTAAATGGGGATTTCCTCTATATTAATATGGAACTGTTGATGACTTTAACTACACCTTTATTTAATCACGCTGGTAAGTGTTCCTGAGTAAGGAAAACTGCGCTCCTAGAGCAACATCTAATATGACTGGTTCCATAGGAGCACTTGAAACGATAGATACAAGAGGAGGCAGCTAGCCTGGGTACTTCGTCTTCCAGTTTCTGAACCACAATCGGCCATGTGAGAAATGTGAACTGCAGCTTACCGGC